CCCCAAAACCCCAAAACCCCAAAACCCCAAAACCCCATTCAATTAATAATTTATAGAAGTGTAAATTAAATATTAATAGTTTTGATTTAAAAATGGAGAAGAAAGGAAGGTAAGAGGGAGGATTGAAGAGGGGCGAAATCGTTTAGGATGAAGAGGAAAGTAAGGAATTCCAAAGACGTTACAGAGAGGTAGGTCTGGAGTTGGATAGGATGTGTTTTAGATTTTTAGGAGAGCAGTGGAAGATCAATTAGTGACTGAGGATTTTAGTCATTTTACAAGAGGAGGAAAGAAGGATCTTATAACGGAGCAATAAAATACGCAACTATTGAAGACGACAATAAAAAACTCCTACAAAAAATGACGGAAATAATGAAGAGAGATCCGAAATTTATACCTGAACCAAAAAGTACACTTGAATACCCTATCAAAAAGAAAACTTTGAATTCGGACTTAAGGAAATAAGGAGCTACAGAGGATAACATTAGAGAACTATAAGATCCTCCAAAGGATCCAATCTCGCAAGAGTAATTACTCTAATAACAAGTGGAAAGCTGACCATCAGAAGCAGCTCAAGGTAAGGTTTCTTGACTTTGACTCTCTCTCAAATATAATCTTCAGAATTTTATATTAATTTAAATAGATGAAACAAAGAATTTCAAATTTCCCAGCTAGGAAGAACCCCAAAGTTGCCAAATCAGCGAGAAGGTTATCCAAAGGTGCCAGGAACTATAAGAAAGTCCTCTGTGATAAGAGAAGCCATAATTCAAGGAATCCTGATTCATTGCCAATGATAGAAGAGGTCAAATACCAAGTAAAAAGGTAAGACTTTAGTTTAAATTTTAGCTATGATGCTGGCTTCAATAGTAACCCTAAAACAAATATCAGCAACCACAGAGGCCAGAAGTTATTCAGAGCTCCTCAATGTGTCTCCCCTGTTGGTAAGTTCTTCTGTGGGGTAATAATTATATGACAGCTTCTGAAGCGAGACTTTCACCCATGAAAATAACTGGAGCCGACATTCAAGTGGATGATAATCGAAAAATAATTTACAGAAAAATTCATAAATTTAACAAGAAAAACTTCTTAATCGAAATTGGAAAAACCAAGGTGAGATATTTCATCGTTGTTATTGAGTTATCCAAAAAGCAGAGAACCCAAGCTATTGAGGTAAGGAAATAGGCCTAAAAGTAGCTTCACTCAAAACAGGCGAAGAAAATAATAACCAATTGTGGTGGAGTAGAGGAGCTTGCCAAGCATATAGAATTTAAGTTTGGAAAAATTGTGATTAAAGACTTAAACAAACTGCTAACTCAACCAATTCAGCCTCTTGCGGTAAATGCTTTTAAGGATAAGAGACAAAATGGAGATAAAAATTTACAAGCTGACAGTAAGCCTCTAGTTTTATTTCTAGATTCATCAGCAAGCGATATGGAGCCATTGATCAAGGAATCAGAGGGAGAGAAATCATCACAGATGTTCCCAGAAGAGATCCCAGAGGATAGTTCTTCCCTAGAATAACACCTGGTTCAATCTCTGAAATCCAGAGAGGGGTTTTGGGGTTTTGGGGTTTTGGGG